TCTCACAAGCATCTTGTGCAAAGCGCTTGAGAGAATTATCAGAACCCACTTATGCGAATACCTCACTCATCACCGGTTGCGGATTGCGGCACAGCATGGGTTTCTGAAGGGAAAATCCTGTCTGAGCAATCTCTTGCACTGTTCAGATGAAGTCTCAGCGTGATTAGACGAGGGTAAGCAAGTGGAAGTATGCTATCTGGACTGTGGCAAAGCATTTAACTCAGTATGTCATCGCTTACTTTTGGCCAAGATACATGCTTTAGGGATAAAGGGTAACATTCACAGGTGGCTTACAGCTTTCCTGGCCGATAGGAACTTCGTGGTTCGGGTCAAAGAAGCGAACTCGCCAATGGAAAATATTGTCAGTGGTGTTCTTCAGGGATCAGTTCTAGATCCACTCCCATTCTTGCTCTACATCAATGATATGCCTGAACGCCTAGGCTAGCCTAGCTATATATTTGCGGATGATGGCAAGGGGGTAGGATTAAATGGGAGGGAGGAATTAGGGAGGGACATAGGAGAAGTGCTCAAGTGTTCAAGTACATGGGATCTGCCTTTTAACATAGGAAAGAGTCATGTTTTGACCATTGGAGAAGAGGAGCTGATGGTTGGGAGTAGTCATGGCGGTCTTTCACTAGGAATGACCCAGAAAGTTAGATATTTTGAAATCATAGTGACAGCAGACAACAAATGGGCAGAACAGTGTGCCGCAGCGGCAGAGAAAAAGACTCAGAGATGACTTGATGGAGACATTAGAAAATATGAATAGCCTATGAGGGACGGATCAAGCAGTGTTCTTCGAGAAGAGGAAAAGCAATAATAGGGGCACATGCACAAGCTGAAAAAAGTACGCACGAGACTAGCGGTGCGTTCAAACTTTTTCAGCAACAGGGTAGTCAACGCATGGAATAAGTTACTACAGGAGCTGATGGAGCCGGGGAGCGTACATGCTTTCAAGAAGGAGCTTGATAAACGCTGGTTGAACTTATTTCCTAAAGTATATGCATAGTTTAAGGTCGGGTGGAAGTTATAGGTTTTCTCATTTACTAACCACTCCAAATAGATGAACGCTTCCAAATGTGAGGTCTCTGAACAAGGGGGAAGATATATTTTCCTTTCTCTTCCTTTCCATAGGCGGAGACGATTGGTACGAGAAGGAAACAAACATAACTACAATATAGAAAATTCGCAGTGGCAGGGGCCAACACGTGGGTTAGCAAAGCGAAAGCGGTTGGAGCGGAGAAAACCACCACCGCTTTCAGCCTCGCAGCAGCTGCAGAACTAAAAACTGTAGCACAGAAATTCGCTTCCTCAGAGCAAGATAATCGCAGGAACGGAGCACAGGGGACCTCTTCACGCGAAAAGGTGTCGGAGGACCGCAGCTGGGCAACAGTATTGGCGAATACACCGAAATGCCGGCCAGGATTGGGCACAATAACCAGTCCCGGGCGCGAGGACCTGGATTTCCTCAAAAACGTCACGCAGCAGGCATCCAAGTCAGTAGACTGGGTAGATCTAAAAGCGGAATATCTCGGATAGCGGAGCCTACGTCCGGCTGTTACACAACAGAAAAAAAACGGGGTTATCCATCGAGTATTGCGCCCGAGGACTCCAAGAGTATAAAAAGGCCGCGGTCGGAACAACATCAAGCGGATATTATTGCAATCTGGTATACTAACGATTGTAGCGTCCGAGGTAAGTGGGGCGAGATTGCAGCACGCTCCCAGGGATCCGAACTCGTCGTTATTACGGAATCCTGGTTGCGGGAAATGCAAGTTATAGCAGACCTAGGGGGTTATACTAGTTACCGGCAGGATAGAGTAGACGACAGACAAGGCAGTGGTGTACTATTAGTATTAGTTAAGTCATTGCTTAGCCAGTGGGAAACACAGCTGGTCTTAGCTACCCCCTAACCTCCAAGCAGTAGGATACTGTGTCCAACTGGGAAGAAGGCAGATGAGCATACTAGGAGTCTACCGTGCCTCTCTTGCGACTCCCTGGGAAGATACAGAGCTTTTGCTGGTTATGCAAGAAACCCTGGCTAGCTACCAGAGGTGTCTCGTGGTAAGTGACTTCAACTTCCCGAGGCTATTCTGGGCACATGGATCTACGACGGCTGCTGAATTGGCTACAGGAAAGAGCCCTCTCAAAACATGTTACAAAGCAACGAAATATCGAGGACAACAGCGTCCCTCTCTACTTGACCTAATTGTCAGCTCGGATATAACTAGTTCAAATATGGAGGAACTGTTAGGTAAAAGCCACCACGAAGTTCTTCGCTTTAGACTAACGGTTAGCTATCGTAGACACGGACCCACCCTAAACCGGCTTTATAGGCGCAAAAACGTCCCAGAGTTGGTACAGGCTGCAAATATCATCAACTGGTACCCGACGTCCCCAAAGTGTACCGTGCAAGATGGGACGTAGTTCAAAAAGGTTTGACTAACCTCACAGAAAGGTTCCCGCCACTGAGGGAAGGACGAACCAGACATTGACCAATATCGTGGAAATCCGGAATAGAGAGAGCGCGGAAAATTTGCAGACAATACTAGGATCGCTTTAAGCCTTACGGCACTCAACAAGCCTGGAGGGACTACAAGCGGGTGCGAAACATTTGTCAAGATCTCCAAAGGCGTGCCAAATATGAATTCGAGTTTAATTTGACGCGAGACGTCAAAAAGAATCCCAAAAGCTTCTGTGCGTACGCGCAAGCCAACGCACGCACAAGGGAGAGTGTAGAAACACTAGCTTTGTCCGATGGAGGCATAGCTACTTGTATTCACAATAAAGCGGAAACCCTACCTAAGTTCTTCAAGAGCGTCTATAGGACCTCAGTAGACTATGATAACCTGGGTATATCAGGGTCAGCTGAAACGTCAGAGTTTGCCCATATTGTAATCTGTGAAACAGATGTACATCGAGAACTCCAGACGCTGAATAAGCACAAGTCAGCAGGTCCGGATGGAATTCATCCATCGATATCGACAGATAGATGGTGTCGCCATGGGATGTCCGCTGGGGCCGATTCTCGCGGATATTTTTCTTGGTCACCTAGAAGGAAAGCTTGAAGAAGATATTTCAAAACTAGATTTATACTATCGTTACGT